TCGGGATGATTCGGAGGGAGAGCTATTTTTTGGATTTCAAGTGACCGTTCGTACGATGAAAGTGCTTTCGAGTACTCGCCCATCTTAGCATACACTGAACCGATGTTGAGGTAGAATTGAGCGAAGTCGGGATGATTAGGAGGAAGAGCTATTTTGAAGATTTCAAGTGATCGTTCGTGCCATGAAAGTGCTTTCGAGTACTCGCCCATGTTATAATACACCGAACCGATGTTGTTGTAGGAAGTAGCCAAGTTGACCTGATTCGAAGGACCCATTTTCTTGTAGATATTGATTGCTCTTTCGTAAAATGTTATTGCTTTCGAGTATTCTCCTATGCTTCTATACACCGAGCCAAGTTGACCATTATAGTGCGCTTTGTCTCCGTCAGAAGATGCCTTCTCAAGGAGTAGCTGATACAGATGTTCTGCTTCTGCAGGCTCACCCAACTTAATAAGAATAAAACCCAGTCGAGACCGTCCTGTTCCCACAAAATCTAGCTCTTTGCGTAAATGTGCTGTAAGTTTGCTAAAATCATCGTCTTGATTACCAGCAAGGGTGAGATCGACTTGCCAGAGACGATCTGTATGCTTATCTTCAATATGTTCTATACGATCGATGCGAAAAATTGTATGTGTCGAAAAAAGAATTTCTTCTTCTTTATCGTCGAAGAAGCCAATATCTTTGACGTTGACGAAAGGTGTTGATGATGATGTGCAAATAGCCGTATCGATGTTCATAACGAAGAGAATGCCAACTGTATTTGCATCGAATGCTGCCAGTCGTGCAAAGTTTTCGAAAGAAATCTCACGATTACGACTTGTCGACAAAAAATTATTAAACGACATAAGTTCACCTTTCGTTTTCTTCACTTTTTCAAAGGCTTCCATGGATAAGCCTTGACCACGAAAAACTTGAAATTTCGATGGCATGGCTGCTTTGCTGTTTTGCTGTTCACGATGTAAGTCTGTAATATGTTGATGTAGATGACGAATAAAAAAGCCCATTTTAAGTATAATATCGACATCCATTTGTCGAAGACCATGATTAAGCATTGAGTAGATAAAATATGGACCAGTGTACCACCAAATGGGTGTATGATTATGATATTCTCGTTCGATCTTTTCGAGTGTTACTTCAGAAGCATCACTGTGAAGACGACAGTATTCAACGAGTTCCTTAATAGATTTTGCATCATCATCTTCGATTTCTAAAAGTGCTTCTTTTAACAATTGTGTATACATAAATAACGGATCAATACGATTAAAACTGATCGAGATCATATTTCGATCATAATTTCTTCGATCGATTTTTAATGCTTCACAAATTGGTTCAATTTGAGTGTATACACCTTTTACTTTAGGTATTGTTTTGGTCCATTGTTGATGAATCGATTGATTGTCACAGAAAACATAAATTGAGTGTAATTGTGGCAATGTTTGAATTTCTGGTACGATATGTTGTCCTAGTGCATCAGACACAATCATGAATACTTTTTCATCTTCAGTGTCACTGACAAAATCAA